TTATCTCACTAAGCATGATCTTTTCCAGCTCCATCCAAGTTGCTGCAAAAGACATGTGTTTCTCTTTTTTGGTTGCTGAGTAATATTCCATTGTATATATGTACCACATCTTTCTAATCCAGTCATCTACTTTTGGGCATTTGGGCTGCTTCCATGTTTTTCCAATTGTAAATAAAGCAGCAATAAACATGGGGGTACAAGTATCTTTTTCAATCAGTGTTTTTGTGTCTTTTGGGTAGATACCTAGGAGTGGGATTGCTGGGTCATAGGGAAGACATGGAGCATTATTTTAATCTTTAAAATAATGATGTTAACATCAAACACTGTTTTCGTGCTTTTTCTCCTGGGCTTTGGGCTAAGTGCTTCACACATAGTTTCTGCGTGCCCCATAGTCCTTGCAGAAACCCTTTGCAATAGATGCTCTCTGTGGTTCCAGCTGGTTCTCCGTTTTAAATTTTCCAACTCACCTATTACATCTTGTAAATACCTTCAAACCTGCAAATGCATGCTTTCCTTCAGATTACCTGTCACCATCTTAAATCTGAAGGGAATTCTATATTAAAAGGAAAGTAGGGAAGAGTAGTGAAGTTTCGAGAGTTTTGTGGAAAGCTTCCTGTGGTGTTCTCTATATGAAGGGTATTTTCTGTTGGTAGAATGTATTTCAAAACTCCCTGCTTCAGCCAATTACCTACTTCATTCTTGCTGACTGTCTGTGTGGCCTGCGCTGTTCTGTCTGTGGGAACTCACTGTCAACAAGATAATAAATCTGTCCTCATGGAAGTGACTTTTAAGACCAGATATCTAGCCTTCCAGAGGCTCTGCCATGTTCTGGCACTTAGAACAATGATGTTACAACTGGTGATGTGACTAACGATAAAAAGGGGGGTGGTAAAAGAGGTACCTAGCTGGCTCTGTACCAGCACCCTGCTCACTCATCTGTCAGACTAATGCTTACTCACATTGATGAATGTGTGTGAACGGCTGCCAAATCAGTAGATAGAAATAAAGTGAAGCAGTAAGTATACATCTTTGTATTTTCTTTCTAAAATGAAAAACAGAGAAAAAGGAAAGAGAATGACAGAATACGTGGTTTGGTTTTTGTGACTGTTATGTTACTTATTGATTGATATCTACTGGGAAAAGGCATTCAACTGTGCTGAGACTTAATAATTCTAGTTGTATGGAAAATTATCACATGTTAATTTCTGTTGCCCTCTTTTATGTTAAAACATGTAAAGTACATTTCAATTCTAAGTTGATTTGATTTACTAAGAGTTTAGTTATGTATGAGCTGAGTTGCAATCCAGATTATAAATCATTTCAGCATGAAATTTGTATAAAATATAAAGATAATCTGAGTTTATTTATGATGTTCTGTCAGGGAGATTCCTAGTGTGAGCTCTCATGACAGTTCTAATAACCATCATTTTTAGCCAAATTAGAAATAGTGTAGTTCTGCATAAAATTTCCTTCACAATTGAAATTCCATTTCCATTATCTAGCAGAAACAAAGGATAAAATGGCATTGTTGTTATTTTTTTTAAAGAGTAATTTCTATTCAAATATGATTTAACAAGGAGAAGATATCACTGTCTACACTCTAGAGCAGTTGTCTGCATGCTACATCTTCCTAGGAAGTGTTTCAGAAAATTCTGGTATCTGAACTTCATTCCAGACAGGTAAAATCGGGGCCTGGGGCCTGGGAGGTGGGAGTCAAGTGTTGGTCCTTGTTCAGATCTCACCACAGCTGATTCTAATTGCCAGTTAAGGCCGAGAGTCACCTGAGTGAGAAAGGCGTGGCCTCAGCAGCAAGGGAGGTTAAGGAAAGCTCTGGAGGAGGCATCTTACATTCACTGATAGAGCTGCCCTACTTCTTCGACTGGGATTTTACAAGCATTGCATGAAAAAAAGGGTAAGACATTTCCATAAGTGAAGGAAAGGCCCTGGACAGTAATGGGGACTTCTTTCAACTGGTTCTTGTACTCAGGCTGAAAGTGTTGGTATTACTCCTGGTTGCTGCCTGAGGCAGAAGCATTGTTTGGAAGTGGAAAAGAGGAACATAGAGTTTTGAGTCTGGTAGTTTTTTTCACTTATTGAACTAATTTTTATTCCTTCTTTGGAAAACAATTGTTTCATGACTTTGTTGTTTTTATGAATTTTCTTTTTCTCTGTACATTCATTCTGTGTAATCAGCTTTTAAGAAACACAGACATACAGCTACTTAGTCAAACCCCTAGCCACAGTGAATTGTGTTTTATTTCTTGTCCCCTTTGTTTTCAGCAGACATGTCTGGGTTTGGTGCTGGCTGTGTGACACTACACTGGTCTAGATGATTTAAATCATGTTTGCTAAGCCTTGGAAGTAGACAGGGCAGCTGTGAATAAGTAAATGATCTTTGTCAGGGTTCATAAAAGAAACAACCCATTGGATAATTGGCAAGGTGGAAAAGAGGAGACTTGCTATAGATTTCCAGGACTTAGGTGTGGAAATTCAGAGCTCTGTGATTTGCTATCTGCAAACTGGAGAATCAGGAAAGCCAGTGGCAATAACTCAGGCGGAGAAATATGGAAGAAAAAGTGGAAGGGCAGGGATTGGTCTGCGTCCCAGACTCCAAGAGGTACTCCGCCGTGGAGAGGATGTTTGTAGGCAAAGGCACTGATCAGTTAGGAAGGTAAAGTTTGGCTGTGAGATGTAGAAACTACATGTGATGCTCTGAATCATAATGTAATCCACCCCTGGTAAAGCCAAAACTAAAGCAGAAAGATTACAATCTAGGGGTAGCTGTTGCTTTAGAAAACAGTAATACAACAACCTCTCAAGACTTTGTTTTAGACGTTACAGATAAGGAAAACTCAGCTAAGATATAGAGAAAAGCCACTGTTTGTGCATAAGAACTTTGGGACCATTTACATCAAACAACTGGTACTTTGTGGTTCTAAACTAGTGTCTGTTCACTACTTTTTTAATTTGGGGTATTTCTAGAGCATAAAATTTATATGTAAATATTGGGTATCAACTTGATGACATATCCATTACATTTTAACAAAAACAGTGTTGTTTATGACCTCTCCTCTTATCTCATTCCCTTCCTTTACTATCTTAGTTAAATGAATGTGGATTATAACTTTATAAAGACTGATAGTTTCAGAAAAGATACCCATGTAAGTGTCAGTGATAGAGGAACTTCAACATCAGGTAGACAGAATGTACCATTTATCATCTATTTTTTTGATACTAATAAAGTGTGATGATTTTAGTAAAGTGAACCTGAAATCTGCATCCAAAGGAAAATTCAATGTCATTCTTTCATTTTCCTTTAATTATGTTGACATTATGTTGCCACAATAATAACCTTCCCCATCTAATACACACATAATTGCCTCTCTCCTTTTCTCTTTCTTCCTATTTTCATTTATTTTAATAGAGTACTTAGGTTTGCACCTGGATCATCTATTTTGAAAGTCTACAGCTACAGCAAGATTTTCTTCCCATTCCAAGCAGACATTGCTAATCAACCTCTGCATTCTTTCCTAGAACAATCTGTAGTTATGATCCTTTTAGTCGTGGGCTTTAGGTAAGCACACCAATAGATGGGAGTTGTTCTTGTTGTACAAGATACCTGGCTGGAGGAAAACAAATAAAATCTGCAATAGTTGCAGCAGTATTCCAGACCATGAAAATCACCTGGGATCGCAGGCCGTCATATGGACTTAATGAACCAGAATCTTTAGAGGAGTTAATCAGCTATGTTTCAGTTGTGTAAAGAGTTTGTTGTTTGTTCTTAGCATTTTGAAAAACAAAAAAAGTATATAAAAATGTCTCCCAACAATCCTTAAAACAAAATCTCTCTATTTAGATTTGCTACAAGCAGTTTCCCTTTCAAATATTAGCCTCATCTGTATGTGTATTCTGATTTTGCCCAGAAAGCTTTAGCTAGGGGTCAGGATTATAGGAGAAGACCAAGTACCTAATGATTTAGAAAATAACTAAATGTAATAACTTTGTACCATTGACCAGTGATAAAGCCAATGTTAAAAATAAACTCAAGTTCTCAATTCTTGCCCAGTCAAATTGATGCAAGTATGTTTTCCTGCCCTTGGAATTAAGTACAGATGGAACAGAACTGTCACAGAGCCATTGAAGAGGGTGAAATTGCAGACAGAAAAAGGAATCTGAACGCATCATGTTTTCCCCCCAAAAATCGCTTATCTGAAATCACTAATTCAGGATCCTAGCCATCATGTACATTATTTATTTTAAAAAGAAAACACTGGGAAAATCATGTTCTCATACAGCTTAAAAATACTGTTTCCCATGAGTAATATTTTATTTATATTTGACTTTCTGGCTTTTCATGCATTTGCTAAATGCTTTGTTGAAGCTTTTTATTTGCGTCTTTTTTCTTTGTTGAAAACAAGTCCCAATTCTCTAAATGTTAGCCATAGGGCTGTTTTAAATGCTAGGCATTGTCAGGATGCGTAGGGCACAGATTCCACATGCTCAGTCATCACCTTCTAGCATCAATAAACTGTCACTTAAGTGTTGTGTTGTGGTTTTCCTGTTCTTAATGTCTCAATGCAAGAAATGTTGTTTAAAATGTTCAGTAATGTTGCTTGCGATGCTAGCTAAATGGTAAAGACAAGGTGTGGTATTTTTGCGAAATATTACAAACTGCAATTTTATTTGCACAGACTGTGTTGGTTTAAACTGTCCTCCCGCCAGGGTCCTCTGGCTCAGCTGTCCCCTTTATGAAGGCCATCTCTCCATGGTGTGCCACTTGGAAGTCATTTCTAGAAACAAAGTCACCTGTGAGAGAACAATTATGTTGGTACAGAGAAATTCAGTTACCCCACATTATGCAAAGAATATAAGATCTTAGAAAATCAGGGCAGGAAAGCATCCCCTCTGACTGAAGGGGATTGAGATGAACATATTTCTGGCAGTGTAACCTGGTTTTCAAGATAACTGATAATAAAATTATTTCTGAATGCTGTAGGTAGACCTGATGGAGAACCTTGTGGAAAGACTTGTTTGGAAGAACGAGACAATCAATGGTTGGGAGTCACGCTTTCCAGGCAGCCAGGGGAAAATGGATCCATAGTGGTAGGTTATTGGAGTTGGTTCACTGTAACATCAGGTGTGCTGTGTAGGGTTTTCACATCATTTTCTGTTTTCTGTTTTGTTTGTTTTTTTTTTTTTCAGACTTGTGGGCATAGATGGAAAAACATATATTATATGACGAATGAGAATAAGCTCCCCTCAGGTATCTGCTATGCAGTGCCGGCTAATTTACTAACCGAACTGAGTAAAAGAATAGCTCCCTGTTATAGAGGTAAGACATGGATTTTGTGTTAATCTATCAAGAGGAATAAGTAAATGCTTTAAACTTTTTTTTTTATTTCAATTTTGGATGTGCAGAGAGAAGTTAACTCTGAAATAGATCCTCTTTGTAACTACTCAAAATATTAGTGTCCTTTTTAAATCCAGTTACAGTAGAATTTGTTTTCAAAAATGTCCTTTGTGTTTTTAAGAACATAAAGTCTACAGTTTAATTTAAGTAATTCTAGAATCTGGATGATAATCACCCAGTTTTGCTTTCAATTTATTTTTAATTCAGTATTATGAGCCTATTGCCCAACAAATAGCTGTAGGATATTTGAAGTCATAAAATACAATTTAAAAGATTGATCAGAAGTTGAGTATTCAGTTTCTTGCTTTAGTTTTAGCTTCTAAGAATATTCAGAAACATTCAAATTATAAGTGTAAGTGAATCTTCCCCATGTGTTGTCTTTTATTTTTTTCCAAGTTCACATTGTCCTTTAAACAACAAATGACTGGTATCTTAAATTTGAAGGGCCTTTCCCATATAATTTGAAGCCATAGTTGGCTTTAGTGCATACAGATCTGAGTCTAAACAACTGAAGTGAGCAAAGTTTGGGTGAATGTCGACAAAGCACTAAAAACCGTATCTGTAGCAACTAATCTTCTAAAAATTATCTCTGGAAAACTCAGAATTTAAACATATGAAAATGATAATTTTCCAAATTTTCTAACCAAAATGATTATCCCCGTGTTTAAAGAAAATTTCTATTACATGACAAATCTCTGAACAACTGCAAATTCAGTCATTAATTCTATTAAAATTGAGGTTTCACCTCTGGAACTTGATGTCATGGAGAAATTTTCATCATCTATGTTTCTAATTTGATTTTAGATATCAAGAATATAAAAGTAAAATTTTCAATTCTCAAATGCAGTAAAGCTCAGTCTGGATTTCTGTGATTATTCCTTTTACCCTAGTGGCTTACGATTTACTTCGAAGTGCTCTTACAGAAAAGTTTTTATTTTTGCTCTGCTATATTCTAGCTACATTGCATAAAAAAATTCAAGATGGTATCAGCCTAATAATATACCAAAAATTAATATAAACTTTTTAAGGGAGGGAAAATCATGCAAGAGTAGTAATTATAAATGACTTGGCATTTAATTTTTCTGGTTAGCAAAGCCAAAGTAAAAATGTCCTGATTCTTATTTTCATAGAGGTTTGCTCATTTTTTTTTTTCAGAAGTAAAGTTTTAAAAGACCCTCAATCTTCATGCAGATCTTAACAGCAGTCTTTATTTTCAGCTGGGCAAAATCTAGAAAGCAACTTTTAAAAAAAGATTTATTTATTTATGCATACAGAACTGGGTACAGGTTGGAGGTGTGGGGTGGTGAGAGGATTCATCAGAGTCAGAGTGGGAATCAGAACAAGCCAACTGACAAAGCACACTGCTGAGGGGAGCAGCAGGCGGATCAGGAGAGGTCTGCCACACCATGTGGGTCACCTCCGGGGCAGGGATTGAACTCATGCTGAACTCAGGCTTTAGCTTCTTAGTTCTGTGTTTTAACACACTGCACCACCAGGAAATGCCCTACAAAGCCTATTTTTTAAAGGAAATCTTAGAGCAGAAACCTGAAATGTTACCTTTTTCCTAGATTTTCACTTGCCTTTTTTTTTTTTTTTTGAGTATGTATGCTGCTGTTTCTTCCCGTGACAAAGAGGCAGGAGTAGATTTTTTATTACCATTTTATAGGTATATTTTGAAGATTTATATGGGAGACACTGTGTTTTTAAAGTTTGTCTTTGTTTTTACATGAAATCTGAATTTTTTTTTCTACTTAATTTTAGACTTTGTGAGAAAATTCGGGGAAAATTTTGCATCATGTCAAGCTGGAATATCGAGTTTTTACACACAGGTAATAGCCCAAAAAATAATGTAGCTGCTATGAATGTTTCTATATAGAACTTAAATTCTTCTGGCAGCTTAAAAGACATGTTTTAAAATAAAGATATATAGCATCTGAACAGTGACTCATGTTTGAGACAGTCATAAGTTAATTCTTAAAACACAATACCTTACATTTATTTTGAGCAAATAATCAGATGGCTCTATTGCATTATGACCTAAAGTATATCACTTCCATTAAGAATTGAATGGCTATCAAAAGTAACTATGGTTGTTCTGTTAACTTAGGTATCAAAAATATCCAATATGTGATTTTTACTTTCTAGTTGAGAGGGAGAGTAAGCATAGGTCTAGTTTTCATTAAAATTATGAAAATATAACAATTTCGCCTTAATAAGATATATAATAGTTACAAACTTATTCTCTTTCTGACAGCCTGAAATATACAATGAAAAAGCAATTATATTCAACCCCCAAATCTCCCAGTACCTATTACAAACCCATTATTCATGAATGCTTTCTAAACTGTGAAGACTGGCAATGTCATTATTGTAACAATTTCCCAAAATACTGCCTATTATGAACACACACAAAAAATATAGCAATGCTTTCTTTATATTTCGATTTCTTTATACATAGCACTCCCTCTCTTCAGCCAACATAGTTAAGGAAATTAGTCAGTGGTTTTTTGCAAATTGAAATAAATTAAATCTACTTTTTACTCTTTGGCAACACATGATTATCTCCTAATCAGTGCTAATGAATTACCCAGATATGATTTGCTTTGATAGATGTCATGCTGCTTTTTTCCTGAAAGCTTAGTGCTTAATTGTACCTTTGATTTGAAAGTCTGCTTTCGGATAAGTGGACACTATTTAGCATCTAGTGAGAATTTCAGTATTTCTTCTGTGAAATTTTACTTTTAGGTAAAATCCATTAGCCAACTCCTCCGGCTTTTTCTTGGTGTTTTTTAAAACATCTGTTTTTTTCAGATTTGTGAAACTTAGTACAAAAATACATTTTTCTTCACTTTATACTTAAAACTTTATTCCAAGGAGGTTTTGGGTGGTGATTTTAAACTTTTACATGGTAACAAACTTTTTTTTTTTCTTACAGGATTTAATTGTTATGGGAGCCCCAGGATCATCTTATTGGACTGGTTCTGTTTTTGTCTACAACATAACTACAAATACATACAAGGCCTTTTTAGACATGAAGAATCAAGTAAAATTTGGAAGTTATTTAGGTACTGTTAATATTGATAGGCTAAGTGGTCTCTGTCTTGTAGGTCCTAGTCACTTAAATAAGGGATATTATATTTTCAAAAGAGTAAAATAGTCAATAGTCATTAAATAAAGGGCATAGAAACTTTAAGGATACAATCTAAGAACTTCAGCTAGCTTAAAATTTTACATTTACATATGCAACTAAATTCATCAGTATTTTACTCTTAGATAAGAACTCCTAGGTCAGTGTACTTTTGCAGAAAGACATGCATAAGCATGTGTACTCATGTAGTAACCAACAGGTTTATAAGTAGCATCTTTTGAGGACCTACTGTATCTCAGGGACTTTTGTGAGCACTCTACCTAAGTCAGTGCATTTATGCATGGGAGAGTGATTCTATATAAACTTTGGAAGGATCAACTGGAAGTTGATGGGACTGTGGCTGGCATTCTAGACAAGAGTAACATTGTGAAGCATGTGCTTCTAAAACAGTGCACTGACCTTTGCCTCCTGAATTCTTTCAGTATTTTCCATAGCTTAACTATTTTTTTAATAGAACTGGGGTAGGTGCAGAGGCAGTGAGAGGATTCACTAAAGACATAGTAGGGAGCAGAACAGGCAGATTGAGGAAGTACACTGCTGAGGGGAGCAGCAGACAGGCCAGGAGAGGTCTGTATCACTTTGTGGGTCACCTCCAGGGTGGGGATCGAACTCATGCTGAAGTGACTTCAGCTTCTTAATGCTATGTTTTAACCTGCTGCATCACCAGGGAGGGCCCAGCTTAACTATTTTTAACTTGCTTCTAGCCCACCTGTTTTCCCCCTCCTCTTCTTTAATCATTTAATATTAAGATTAATGATAGTCTCTATTTGAACAAAAATATTATATTTTTCTCACATTAATTCCTTTTATAGTAAAAGAAACACTTTTCTATAGCTTCTTAAGTAGAGATCTGTTTAAATCAAGCTACATGTGAAATACACATGAAAATATGTCTTTCAGTACACAAGAAAATAAAGTGATCCTACTTTTGTGTCTTAAAATTTTTGTCACAACAGGAAACTTTTCACAGCAAAGCTTAGGAAGAATTTATTATTCTAGGTTTAAAATAATTCATATGTGTAAAATAGTTGTAACTTTGAAAGCTAGCATGTCCTTATGCTAGACAGAGACTAATAAGTCAGCTATAAGGAGCTATCTTCATTTTTAGGACTTGGAATAAGTGTGACTCTTTTCATCACACACATTATTCATTTCTAAAACATGTAGTTAATGACCAGTTTTCTGTATTGATTTACTAAGTATTCATAACACTGTTTAGTGTACTTGTGCTGAATTCAGTCACATTTGAATTCTATGAGAAGGTTTATGATCCAGTCTACCCATTGTAAATGATGGTCTTCATCCACTGCTCCATTTTCTTAAAGGCTACTCCGTGGGAGCAGGTCATTTTCGCAGTCCACATACTACTGAAGTGGTTGGAGGAGCCCCACAGCATGAGCAGATTGGCAAAGTAAGTCCAGCACTTTTGTATTTTTTTTTCCTGAAAGATTCAAATAGGTTATATGAGAGATGCTAAAGGAAGAAATAAAAAATTCTAAAGAGTGGAAAATAGGAATATGACTAAGAGGAAGAATTTAGTGGAATTGTTCTAGTTGCATGGCTTGAGAGGAAATTTAGTAGAAATACTTTGGAAATTACAAAAATTGCATGAGGTCTTCCTTTCTTACTAGTGAATTATCTCAAGATGTCCAGGGACTATGTTTATTTTAGAAAATTTACAACTGAAGGAGGATTGAGTAGCTTCATGTTTTGGGATTTAGAAGAAATTAAAATGTTACTTTACTTACATTGTTGTGGGAATGTTTAAAAACCAAGTTTTTTGCTGAGCCTTACGTTGTAAAGTGAGGCATACTGCTTTCTGTGCTGAATGTAAGGGATTCACACAGGGCCTGAGAAAATTGTGTTCCCATTTGTATCTCTCTTAAAATGATTTAAAAATACATTTGACCAGTTATAAGTTATGTTTGTTATGTTATGTTTCGGTCAAATGGTATTTTATTGAGATAACATTGGTTTATCACACTGTATATGATTGAGCAGTATAGGATCACATCCTTTAGATGGATGTTACCACACCATACCCTCCACCAAGGTACACATAGTGCGCCACTCAAATAACAGCCATTTAAAGTGCTGATAGTCTAACCTGTTTTAATTACTTTCCCAAATTGCAGGCATACATATTTAGCATAGAGGAAAGAAAACTAAACATCTTACATGAAATGAAAGGTAAAAAGGTAATATGTCTCTACCTTTGCTATCACCATGGACTTTTGTAGTAACCATGCTTTTCACTCAATGACTGGATCTGGTTTGCTTTGGGCAGCTTGGTTCTTACTTTGGAGCGTCTGTCTGTGCTGTGGACCTCAACGCAGATGGCTTCTCTGACCTCCTCGTGGGAGCCCCCATGCAAAGCATCATCAGGGAGGAAGGGAGAGTGTTCGTGTACATCAACTCCGGAGTGGTATGTCAGAGAGCTCAAAAATTGGCATCCATTTACAGGCTGCTGATGGAAACTAAAGGTGTTCTTGTTCCAGAGTCCCAAGATTATAGCTTTGTAGGCTTATCTTTCTGATGAAAGTAAAATTTCTACTGCTCTGCTGATGATCTAAAAATGACTTGGAACACACTGATGAATGAACATCTGTCCGATTTTTATATTCCAGAAAGATGAGATCAGTTGGAATTGCCCCATTCACAGTTTGTATGTGTTCACTCAAATAGTTGATGCAAATCTAACTTGAAAGAATGGTTGATTCATAACTCAAAATGTGGATTTCTTATTGACTCCATAGTGTCTTTATATAATTTGATAAGTGTCTTCTATTTGTAGTATTATTTTATAAAGAATTAAATGTGGAAACTGTAAAATATGAATATGAACATTAACTATAGAATATATTTTGCCAAGAATATAACAATGACATAGTTCAGTCCAAAGTGGATGTAGAAGTTATATAAATAGGTAATAAAGTATGAGTTGAGTTTTTACAGTATGGCAGGGATTTTAGAGTAGAAACTGATTACCTGGCAAATCAGCTTGAAGTATTCTACTGGCCTTCTCTTCCTAGTCTAACTTTTGGACATTAAATTAAAACAAAGAATTGAAGAGCTAATGTCATCTTGGCCTTTCCTTGATCTAAGAGTGGGAACAAGTTTATGAGAAGATTGGTTCATTTCTTAAGGCACAGTATTTTCAGCCAGGATACAACAAAGTAAAAAGTATCACGAAAGTATTTGTACTCTTATTCAGTCATTGGTTTCAGAGCTTTCAGTGAGTTCCTCTACTTAGCAACAGATTAAATGAGACAATACTTGTAGAGATGGGAGATTCTCAGAGTTCCAGGTAGAAAGGAAGGTAGTTAATTATGCACTAGGATTTTGTAGTCTCTTTATAATTTTGTAGTCATTATAAATGTAACAAGAGTATCATCTATAAATTGACTATCAGTATCTCATTATAGTGCTAGCAGGCATTACTTTATTCTTCCAAGGACATTTCATATTTCCTTGTGCATAAACTATGTTCTTACACTAGCTAAATCCTCATTCTGCATAATTTTTATCCTTTATAACTGAACTTTTTGAAAAGTTTCAGCAGCAGCATATGTGCATTAAATAATATATTGGCTTTTTCTCACTGAAATCTTAGCTATCTCAAAATGAAAATAACAGCTAACAGTAAAGCTGCTTAATGTAAAGAACAAGAGGAGGAATTGTACCCACTAGACAAAGCTTTGTTCTTCCTTCATCCCTACCCCGGGGTGCCAGTGTTAAACACTAGGGTTAATTTAATAATTTACTTCACCTTTTAAGTATCTGGTACAGATGGTGTTACCCTTGTTTTTTTTTTCCCACTATTTCTGAGCTCCCTAAAATTATACCTGTAGAATTCGAGGACCTCTAGAGTGGCTCGACCTAGCATTACACATTTACTGCTAGTGTCCATTCTGCAGCGTGGAGGTGCCACATGGAGAGGATTTGTCTGTTTTCTTTCTTGCTGTTTCCTCAGGGCTTATAGGAGCCCTCGACAATAGAGACTTAGAAATTGTTTTAGAATGTACTCAAAAGATACTTGAATGAATCTGGCTTCCTTCTACTGGCACTAGTACTTAGGTATTCCCAGTAAATTCTTGGTCATATTCTCTATAATTGGAGAATACTTAGTGTGATCACTGGTTCTCGAAATCCACTCCTGCTGGGACTTTGTGCCTCTGTGTTGTTCTATGTCTGTGTCTTCTCTCAAGCCTCTTCTTCCATCTCCTTAAGTTGGTTATTTCCTTTTGAGTGAAACTCTCGCTCTTTATTCATTAGATAATCATTCACTACTGGTGGTGCCAATGATTGTGTCTGTAGAGATGATTTTAAAAAGTAGTTCATTAGAAAAATTAAAAAAAAAAAAACCTTTCAAATGTAATGCATGCAAATGTTGTAGATTATCTTTGTCCTGATTTCTAGGACCTCACAAACCAGGAGGGAAATAAACAGGCAAGTAAATAAGCGAATACATACGGTAAAGGGCACATTATTAGTATATCTCAGGTGGATAAAGTAAGCCTCTTTGGTTGTGAGTCAAGTGTTTTTCAATAAAAGGAAGTGTTCAAGGATTTTTTAGTTCATAAAGCAGAGGTGAAAGACACTCATGAGGACTGGGCAGGGAGTGCTTGATGGGCTTCTTTAAGATGAAAAGATCTAGGAGAAGCAATGCTTGGCTTTATTATTGTTGTTGTTGTTACTGTGAGGCAGTGACTTAATCTGAGTTTGGGACGAGGTCTGGTATATCTTATTATAGTAACCCATTTTCCAGCTTCATCCTTTAACCAATCCATGGTCCACACAACTGTAGCTGTGGTACTCCTCAACTCACACTTTTGGTGGCTTCCAGTTGTTCCCTAAGTGGAGAGACCTTTCTCTTCATTTCAGTGTAAAAGTTCAAGACTCCCATTTTTGAGATTTTTTTCCTCTCATTTGCTACAGCCAAATACTTTGAAATTTTTTTTTCTGATTATTTTCTCTCTATATTTAAAATTATGCTGACCCTTGAATAGTTACCTTGCATGCTATCTCCTTGCTGGGAATCTCTCCTGGCTCTGCCACTTAGATATACTCACATTCTTCCCTGATATGCAACACAGTACAACTTGTGGGTTTTTATGTCCCAGCACTAAGTCATCCTTGAAACTAAGAGCTGCTTCAGGAAAGGGAAGGTGTCTTGTCCACAAATACTTGTCCCCTTGCACCTGTTCTCTCTTTGTGCAGGGTGCCATTAGTAGGAACTCTATAAATATTTGCTAAACTGAGTTATCAGTGTGATTTATTGGATCTTTCAAAGCGAGGGATCATGCATTTGACAATTTTTTATGTCCTCTGAGCTCTAATCATCCTACTATATATGTTGATATACTTGATAAATATTTATTGAATTGCACTGTGATGTGTGTACTAAAGCTCACTCTGTAGTTTGTCCAACTTGTTTGAAGCAATAGAAAAAGAATCCATATCCAATTACAACAGCAAATCATGTGTAAAGTTGTGAGAATGTTGTAATGATGTATTTTCTCTCTCCTTTCTGTCTAGGGAGCAGTAATGAATGAAATAGAAACAGAACTTATTGGAAGTGACAAATACGCAGCAAGATTTGGGGAATCTATAGTTAATCTTGGTGACATTGATAATGATGGCTTTGAAGGTAATTAAAAGTATCTAATTTTATACTTGATTTCTGGCGCAAGGACAAGAATATGATTAGTTTTTTTTTAAAGATTTATTTATTTATGCATACAGAACTGGGGTACAGGCCAGAGAGTGATGAGAGGACTCATCAAAGACAAAGTGGGGAGCAGAACAGGTAGATCTACTGAAACACACTGCTGAGGGGAGCAGCACGTGGGTCAGGTGAGGTCTGCCACGTCATGTGGGTCAGCTCCCTGGCTGGGGATCAAACCCATGCTGCAATAGCTATCAATAGCTTGATAGAACTGACTATAACCCCTGTGCCACCAGGGAGCCCCTATGACTTACGCTGTTTTACTTTAGATAAAAATGGAGCCAAAATGGCGTGCTACATATTTTCCTTTATACTGTTAAGCCTGACTTCTTCGTTATCAGTTATTGATTAATTGATTTTACCATTGTTACTAAAGCATGGCATTCAAAAAACCTTTTTTTATCGATGAGAAGGCAATACTGGTGGAGTTGCAATATTTTATGTGCACCTAAAATCTACTTATTGAACTGTATCCTTAAAACTCTATTTTAAGGATACTATTTCAGAAATTTTAAAAGATGAAGAAAACATTTTTTATCATATACTCTGGCCCATACTACTTAACAATCAGCATAGCAAAGGCAGCAAAAGAAAAACAGCAGAGGCCAGCTACAGATCTGGAAGGCAGAGCAGGGATCTGCATTCTTCCTATTTTCCTACACATTGTTTAGTTTGCTGCTGCACTGTGAGAAGGATTTGGGGATCCCAAGAGAGTACTGACAGGGGGGTTACAGACAGAGTTAGAGACAGCGACTGATACTGAAGGATCTTAATAATGGAACTGATAGCTACCTATGCCTGGACATCAGCCTTGTATTGAAGTCCCTGTCTTTGCATCCTTTCCTTCTAACCTGTGTATAAAAAGACAAATGGGATTCGCAAGAAGAATGTATTATTCGTAGAGTCTAATAAGTATTTTATACTTATTTTCAGGGCCCAGAATTGTGTCTTCTTGATATTGTCACTGGCAATTGATACATAGTAATAGTAGGCCAAATTACTTGAATACTGAAAATAAGTAAAGGAATACTAGAAATCCCCACTTCCTTAATTTTTTATTTCTGGATACCTCACTATACATCAAATGTTTAAAATGGATTACTCTATAAACAGAGCACATACTGATTATGTATTTCCAATGAACCTTATTAAATATAAAAAATCATTTGCTATACATGATCATTTCTAGAATTTTTCACTACTTTAAAAACAAAAGGGGATAAAAATAGTATATGTAGGTAGTTTTATGCTTATTTTGATTACACAAGACATTTTACATTAAAACATCTGTAAAATTTTATGGGTGATACTATGTTTTAGAAATAGTCAGCAATCTTATATTTATTGAGCAATTACTTTGGTATTTTGGGTACCTGGCAGACCTCTCCTGACCTGCCCACTGCTCCCCTCAGCAGTGTACTTCGTCGATCTGCCTGTTCTGCTCCCAGCTCTGTCTCTGGTGAATCCTCTGACCTCCTGCACCTCTGGCTTATACCCCATTCTGTATGCATAAATAATAAATCTTAAAAAAAAAAAAAAGAAAAAGAAAAGTGAAAGAGGCAAAGCTGACATTTTTAGCTGCCATCATCTTGCTCACCACCTTCACTTGAATTTTAGACTATATGCTTAAATATCTCTAAATGAGAACCACAATAACCCACTAATTATAAAGTATTAGCTGCCTTTGTCTATGTGTCCCAGAAGTATGCATATTAACAAGTTATTAATTCAACACTTCTTTGAGGCAGAACTAGAATTGGTGCTGGGAAGGTAAACTTTGGGTAAACCTCTGTTAGTGTCTTTCTATAGTACGGTGGTGGAGAGCACAGACTATTGTCAGACTGCAGGAGTTAAGTCGGTTCTGTTATATTCTGGCTTTGCGACTGTCGGCGAATTACAGTCTGTGACTCAGTTCTCTCAACAGTAAAGTAGGAATGAAAAATTTTATTTGATATAGTTATCATGAAGATTCCATGACTTAATGTGTATAGTCCCTGACACCATTCCTGCCTTGTAAATGCTATATAATTGTCTGATACTAAGATTATGATTATTTTATGGTTGTATGATTTATGCTAACAGAATGAAATCTGTTCTGATGAAAAGTGGTAACTGTATATGTTGCTGTTCTATATGTTATATCTAAATTAAGTTTGAATGAACATGGAAAGCCATTATTTTTCCTCATTCTATGATAGTTATTAATGTAGTATATAACAGATCTGAGTATAATGCTGCTAAGAAGTAAGAGTTTGGATCTATTTATCAGATAGCCAAAGACTGAATAAGTCCATTCTTTTTCCTTGGAATGAAATTGATTTGGGCCAATTTGGACTGCTTCCTGAGTTTGAAACCTCACTTTGATTTTTTAATAAGCCTGTATACAATCATAAAAAAAAAATAGATTGATGGGTCTTTTTATATTTCAACTGTAAAGGTGCATCTGTATTGTTTTAACATATTTACCTTAAGATAGCTCATAAGTGCTAATAACCGAGCTAAATTTGATCCCCTGCCAGGGAGCTGGCATGTATGTCACATCAGACCTCTCCTGTCTCACCTGCTGCTCCCCTCACCAGTGTATTTCAGTAGATCTGTCTGTTCTGCTCCCATTCTGTCTCTGGTAAATCCTCTTACACTCCTGTAACTCTGGCCTATACCATAGCTCTGGTATGCAGAAATAGATAAATCTTTTTTACAAAAAGAAATTGTTAGTCTTTTTAAAGTTGTCCATTTGGCAGAGTTACTAATTTTTTTTAAAGATTTATTTATTTATTCATACAGAACTGGGGTACAGGCCAGAGATGCGGAGGGTGAGAGGGTTCACCAGAGACAGAGTGGGGTGCAGAACAGGCAGATCTACGAAGTACACTGCTGAAGGGAGCAGCGGGGAGCAGCGGGCGGGTCAGGAGAGGTCTGCCACACCACGTGGTCACCTCTGGGGCAGGCAGGGATCGAACTCATGCGGAAGTGGTTTAAGCTTCTTTTGTGCTGTGCTTTAACCCGCTGTGCCACCAGGGAGGGCCCAGAGTTACTAATTTTTATTCCCCTTGAAATAGTAATCAAAACCACCAAGGTAGTTGATACAGGTTTTAGCTCTGATAATGATATCAGATTATCAAACAAAAGCAAAAAGTATTCTAGGCTTGTACTAAAGGAATAAAAAATTGATATAAATTTAAGAATATATCCAAATAGGCATAATTCTAAGTTAAAAATAACAGCTGTAGATAATTATGGTCATATTTGATGTATATTTGCGCACTGTGAGCAAACACATTTATAGCTTAGTTTTCACTTAAGTTTCTTTTGTTAGTTAATAAAATCACCTTTTCTTATATCAAATCTTGATGTCCATCTCAAAATTGTAAAAGTGATGCAGTTTTTTTTATTTTATAGAAGAAATACTCTAAAATCTAGTTTGTATGGATGTATGTGTGTATTCATACATAATCATTTTCACTGGAATAAGAATTAGAAATCATTTTTCAAATAAAAGGAAGTCCAGAGCTCAAAAATAGATTTTCTTGGTCATAAAACTCATAGATAATAACACTTACTACATGCCAGATACTGCTATAAGCAGCAGCCAAGTTTGGCCAAGGAGGCTTCTCCTAGGAGCCCAGGGTGTTTGTGTGGGGACCAAAACAGAAAGGTTAAGGAGTGGACCAGCACAGGCAGGTAGGCACCCCCACCCCAGTGCTGGGGCCAGGCCCTGGCCACCTGGCTCACAATTCCATGAGGCTCCTTTTCAGCCCCACATATTTGGCTTCTTCTGTCAGCAAACTATTCTGTGTAGTTCTAGATATTTCGGTGATGATGTTAGCATTTTGCAATTGCTTTATGGATCCAGTGAGTAAAGAATTATTGGTGGTAGTTTTCTTGTGTATTAATTGAGGTGCATGAGGGAGAGTTTCCAGAGGGGCAAGTATTCAGAGTGATTTTTTCTGCCATTTTAATTTTGCATAGATGTTGCTATTGGCGCTCCACAAGAAGATGACTTGCGAGGTGCCATTTACATTTACAATGGTCGGGCAGATGGTATCTCACCGGCCTTCTCACAGGTAAGTTGCTCTTCTATTCCCAAAAGAAGCTTTGATAATAAGAAAAGCCTCCCTAAAACTTTTCATATTAACGTGGTCCTACTTTTCTTGGTTTATTCTTTAAGAAACTTGGTATTTTATGTCACTATTTCTTTATAATAAAAAGTATATGGTCTCATTTCTATGGTCATTAATAACTCTTTGAAGCCTTTTTTTTTTTTAAGTTCTGGTTTCAATTTCAGTCTAATTTGTTTTACCCTATTAAGGATTTCTCTCTGCCTTTCCCTTCATTTATGTTCTGAGCTAATATCCAAAGTATTCCAAATAAGCCCATTTGGATTTGATTTACTATGTCTTGCATTGTGGCTAAAGCTCTGGTTTTATGGCTGCATCACAAGGAAAGCAGACACTTGTGATGTCAAGTGTTGGTTTCCAGTGCAGAGCAGTTAGGTGATAATATTTTAGAGATGTTCCTTAATGTAACTTTGACTTTAATATTTGGGAAATCAGGCCATTTTCAATGCATTCACAAATTGCATACTCTTAAAGAGAAAAACTCTTTTCCAAATACAACTTTTATAGAAGCATTAGTGAATATTGTTACTTTTCACTGAGCAAAATACACACATGTTCTATATTTAATATGAAAGATGCATGCTTAAGTAACTGAAAAAAAAATACTGGTATTCTTAGGATCGATTGCAGCCTGATACTTATAAATCAGCCCTTGAACATAGAATTAGACATACAGAATAGGAAGCTCATAGTTGTTATAGATGTTTTCCTCGCCAGACTACTTATGTGGTTATTCATGTTGGTCAAGGAAGAAGAGCTTGAAAGAAGCCCAGGGTAAAGGAACTAGGGCTACTTTAAGTAGTTTTCCCTTTGTTCACAATTTAAAACAAACAAACAAAAAAAAAACACCTTTTTTTTTATTTGTCTAAACACAGAATAGATGTTAACAACCCACTTCAAACTGGAAACTTTTGCTTCTCTTTGATACAAGTATTTGGCTTAACAAAATGTACTTTGTTAATAAATGTGCCAGCACATAGGAAGGCATATTTAACCATGTCATTGATTGTCTCTAATACTAGATATTTATTAACTGCTTCCCACTCAACTTACCTATTTTTCAGAGAATTGAAGGACTTCAGATTAGCAAATCACTAAGTATGTTTGGACAGTCTATATCCGGACAAATCGATGCAGACAATAATGGATATGTAGGTGAGTATAAGTGTATTTTATAAATTGTAATAAGCTCTATTGTAGATGTTTTATTTTTAAGTACATATAACCTATATAGAAGAATTCTAATTTACTGATACTTTTTCTTCCTTTTTAAAGTTCTTTTGAATTCAAGGCAGGTCAGAAATAAGTAACTTTCTGAGCTTTACACTAGACATTTCTCAACATTTATTCCTTGTTCTTAAAAACAATGAGAAGCTTCCATGAAAATTAGTGAAACATGATTAAACGAAGCTGTTTTTTTGAAAGAAGGTTTCTAGTTGACTTTTTTTTTAAGCTTTATTTATTTATGCATATAGAACTGGGGTACCGGCCAGAGGTGAAGAGACAGTGAGAAGATTCACCAGAGTCAGAGTGGGGAGCAGAACAGACAAACTGATAAAGTACACTGCTAAGGGAAGCAGCGGGCGGGTCAGGAGAGGTCTGCCATGCCATGTGGTCACCTGTGGGGTTGAGAATCAAATTCACACTGAAGTGGCTGCTGCTTGTTTGCAGTGCTGCGCTTTAATCTCTTGCACCACCAGGGAGGGTCTGGTTGACTATTTCTAATCCAAAAATTGACCTTTGTTTTCCCAAGCCTGCCTATTTAAATTTTAAGCATAGTTTGTATATTTCGACTATATTTGTAAGTGTGTGAATGTCATTGTAAATGAATAGATTCAGACAAATGTGGAATGAACTTGAAGATGTCAGTGTATCATTTCTAATTATTTTTCTATAAATAGTCAAAAGGTGAAATGTAGTTTAGTATTTATGGCTAACAAGTAATTCTCCTTGACTAACAATAATCATTAATCGGTGTTTTTTTTATCCTCCAGATGTAGCAGTTGGTGCTTTTCGGTCGAATTCTGCTGTGTTGCTAAGGTAAGGGTCACATTTTACAGCTTAATGACAATCGGGCTTAATTGTAAATGATGGGAGGTAATTTTTAAAGTCATGGTACTGACCTCATAATACCTTTTTTGATATTCTGAAATTTAAATTTTGAACATTTAGATACTTTTCTCATCTTAAAACTAACAAATCATCAAAGCCAATATTTCTATAAATTTAAACAAAAATTTCTGTTTACTCATGCATGGACATTTGAGCGCATATATGAACATACTCTTAAGAAAGCAGTTTGGTGAAATTACTTCATCAATGGAAATTGATAGTACAAGAGCAGTTCTTAAGGAAAAATGTCTGCAATTACTAATTAATATAGCTAATTTTATTTTCTTCCTAGGACAAGACCTGTAGTGATTGTTGACGCTTCCTTAAATCTTCCTGAGTCTGTAAACAGAACAAAGTTAAACTGTGTTGAAAGTGGGCTGCCTTCTGTGTGCATGAATCTGACACTCTGTTTCTCATACAAGGGCAAAGAGGTCCCAGGTTATATTGGTAAGTGTGGTAAGTGTGCCCGGCAGAGTTAATGAAGTTACTGAAATGTGCACTTGGCTCACTTACCTCTAGGCCATCTTTTGAGCCCTCGCTGTGTTTCACCATCGGGTCTTCAGCATAGGAGAAAGTAGCCACTGGAAATGCCAGTGTGCAACGTGTGTTAAGGTTGTAATTGTTCAGAAGTTGCGGAAAGAAGCCATATCACTTTCTGTGTTATTTAAGGTGAACTAACTGAGCTTAGTCTGTAAGATCTCTTCAGAGTAGAAAGAGCATCCTCTGTTTTACTGGAATTCTTAAAGTCTAACCTGGCTACCGCTGGAAGATCTGAGAGGGAAGAGATTCTTCTTATTCTATTCTGTTGGCATAATTGAAGAAGCTTTTCTGGAGTATAGAAACTGATTCTAATTTCCACAAATAATACACATCTCTTACTATTTACCAACCAGTTCCTGAGAGCCATGCCTATTGCCCTACACAGAGGGAACTTTCAATTTTCTGCTTTGGAAAAGTAGAATTCATATGGCTCCTCCAAGATTGTGGTTAAATAAGGTCAAGGCAAATACATGTGACTTTATCAAAGTGTTGTGTTTTCACGGCAGATAAGCATTCCTAATTATGTTATACTAAAATTAATTTAGAATATATAGTTCGTCTCTGGCCATACCACCCTAAATGCGCCCAATCTCATCAGAATATATAGTTTGTGGATGTTTCTGGTCTTGTTTAGTTTTATTTGTAGTGCTTTAAGATGTTAATATAGTGGTTCTACAACCAATTAAATTGACTTTAAACAAGGTGTCATACAATAAGTTACAGGATAAATGAAACAATAAATTTAAAAAGTGCCAGTTAACTTCCCTCTCTCTACATAAGAGTCCAGGTAGACCTTTATAAGTTGGCTTAAAATGATAAATTTCAAAAAATTACTTTTTATTTTTATTCTGATGTGAACTTGCCTCTTGCAGCCTCTACTGGCAGTGAGGTATAATGAAGTCTGGTAAGCTTGGAGCATCTCGCTCCATTTTCTGCTCCATGTGTGTTGAAAGGAGTCCATCATAGGACAGGAGTATACTTGAGTTTATTACTTTGACATCTATAATTCAGTCCCTATGCCCCACAAGAGCCATCAAGAGTTGATTGTACTCATAACCTTTCAGGCTGCGGGAATCTCACAATATGAGGAGCAGTCAACGCTTGTTGAGTCAAACTGTGGACATGTAACAGAGGTCTCAGTCTGAGTGAGGAGAACAGAGCGAGTCTAGGATCTGCTTTTCATCAGAATCATTTTTAATACTATTCTGCCAGAGTCCTGGTTAGAACTGCAATGAGAGGTCTGTGGGCAAGACCTTCATCCAGCTATTTATGAGAGAAGTGCAGTTTGAAATTGTGACCCCAATAACACAGACAGGCTGATAGATTACCTGAAAGATGCACGTTAACAGGTTGGACTATTTCCCTTGATGTAAAACCACTGTTTGTTGTACGACCAATTCCACTGTCAGTAGATATTTTTTAAAAAGTGATTGAAAACAAATATATTAAACTCATAAATAACCACAGCATTGGTACAAAAGCATACTTTATAGTTGTCGTAAAATGACTCCTTGAGAGAAATAACTCTCATGGTAAGCACATTTAATATAACCAAGACATTTTTCCTCATACCATGAATGGATTGTTATTCATACCTTTTCACTTACTTTTTGTCTGAGCTCAGGGTGATAAATTTGTGGATGGCTATTCAATTACAGCTATCTCTCTGAGATATTGAATCTTGGTTATTGTAATTTTGAAGTCAATTGGTTTGGAGTTCATTTTCTAAATAAAAGGTAGGTTGAAGAATTTATCTGAAATTTGTGGGCATAATACAGATTTTATATTCATGCTCATTGAAATAAATAGCTAAACCCTATCCAGAAAATGAAGTTACTCCTAGCAGGTACATGACACTTCAGGAGTTATATAAATTCTTTAAAATATTACTTAGGAATTATTGCCCTTCTATAATGAGTCCCATCTCAGTAGCAGATCATTAAATATATTTTGCAAATAACCCACGCAGGTTCAAGATCTGCTGGGGCCTCCCTGGTGGCATGAGGGTAAAAGACACAGTGCTATTGCTATCTCTAGATATTGCAGCACAGCAGAGTCCCATCCTTGGGCAGGGAGCTAACCCACATGGCATAGCAGGCCTCTCCCCTCAGCATTGTATTCAATAGATACACCTGTTCTGCTTCCCACTATTTCTGGTGAATCCTCTCACACTCACTCACCACACCTCTGGCCTACACTCCAATTTTTGTTTGCAAAAATAAAAGTAAGTCTATAAAAAAAAAAAAAAAGAACTGCATTTTACTTTCTCAGTTAAGATCTGCGTGGAATTTGGGGAGCTGTTTTTGCTTTAAGATTTTATTTATTTATGCATACAGAATTTGGGTTCAGGCACGGTGAGAGAATTCACCAGAGACAGAGCAGGGAGCAGAATAGGTAGATCAGTGAAGTACACTGCTGAGGGGAGCAGCAGGTGAGACAGTAGAGTTCTGCTGCACCATGCAGATCACCTCAGGGGCTGGGATCGAACTTGCACTGAATAGCTGTGCTCCACCCTTGAGGAAGTTGTTTTCAAATGTTTTTCTTTGTTTTGAAAATACTCTTTAGTAGATGATTATGCCAGATTTGAAATGCGGTCTTACCAAGCTGATAGAATATTGAGATAATGTTTTCTATGTGTGTTATGTTTGCACAAATTAACATGGGAAAGTCAAAGGAGCAACAATGAAAACATGGAGCCCTCCGGGTTTGGGACAGCAAAGGAGAGTTCTTTGGGTAAACTGTTTACATAGCTTTGACTTTGTAATGATGTGTTCAGCTTACTTTAAAAACAAAATAATAGCAACCCCTCCCATTCAATCAAAGCAAACATAAATGACCTTTACCACTAATTACATTAGGTGTGTTACCACACAAGGCGAATACTGCCTGTGAGACTTGAGCGCCTGTGACTTTTTGTATTTTGTTCCTTAGCTGAATGTTCTAAGGACAAAAAGGACTTGAAAAAAAAAAGAAAACTTTATTCAGGACTTTTATTATTAGTAACAGTTTTGGAATTCAAGTATTGAGACATTTATATATAGAAAAATTAAGCAGATAACCAAAGATAGTAATACTGTTTTAAAAATAGAAGCCTAATGGTGATGGCACATGGGTGACTCGGTGATGGGAAACCCACGGGGATTACAACTGAGATGGAAAAAAAAAATGTACAAAATGATGTAAAAATAAACTATTATATTATTTTTAAAAATAGAAGCTTAGATAAAAGTTAATAATTTTTTATTAATGTGTAAGGTTTTTATAATTCATATTTTTTTCCCTTTTTCATAGTTCGGGATTTTTTTTGCCCTTTTTCATAGTTCAGGATCATTTAAAAAAAACTAATGATGAGAGAATTTAACATATTTCCACTAAATTTACTATTACCACTTCAAAAATAACAATTTAAATGCTTTTAGATAACTATTCATTTAAATTCTCTCTACATTTTTTGCAGTTTTGTTTTATAATATAAGCTTGGATGTGAACCGAAAGACAGAGACTCCACCAAGATTTTACTTTTCTTCTAATGGAACTTCTGATGTGATTACAGGAAGTATGAAAGTGTCAAACAGAGTAGCTAGTTGTCAAACACATCAAACATTTATGCGGGTAATGTTGACCAGTTTTTATTAATCTATATGTAAATGTCATTGTTTTCAATGCAGTAATAATTTTATTGTATTATTTTCATTTTATATTAATGTGTTAATAGGTAAAACACTGTTACCCTCTCCTGAGTTAATGACCTATTGTTCCAGAATCACACTGTTAGATAATTCTGTAATCTGGATAACTCAAATTTGTTTTTTGCATCGTTTTTATTTCAGATTTATCATTTTTATTGCCTCACTATTTTTAAAGATTTATCTTTCCTTTTCTACAATTGCTATTTCCCTAACTTTGTTTATAAGCTTTTCTCCAAACTTTGTTTATAAGCATTAAGTAGCTGCTGAGCCTCAGATCTATTTCAGGACAGGGTTTTGGGGGGCGAAGGGCAGTGGGGAAGTTGGTTCGTTTTTCATTTGACTTTAACAAAGCAGAATCCATCATGACTGCTTTTGGATTTTGTCTTTGTCTGTGAGCCAGCATTGTTGGTGATGTCAGTGGGAACTTGCACAGTTGTAGTGTCGCCTGGGGATTATCTGTGGGCCAGGACGACAGCTCTCATGATGGTTTGGGGTATGTCCTGCCAAAGCACAGCCAATTTCATATTTCTCTTGTTAAAACACTCTATCCCAAAATTATGAAGTCCCTTGCATTGGTGAACTGTTATTCTATGAAACAATGCCAGGTCTTTTTCATTAGGGAGCAGTGTACTTCATCAGAAAATCTATTGTCACAAAAAGCCAACTATTCTCTGGAGCTCATTCTGGGATTTTAAATAGTAGCCTCAGCTTAGACTTAATTTTCCCTTAGATACATATTCCAAGCAAATGCAAACAAGCATCAAGACACCCATACCCTATTAAATGCTAAGAGCTATAATCCCTGTGCAATTTCCTCATTTCCCTTAACAGTTTCTATTGTTGTACTAGAATAAAGCTATTAGATGGTTGTGAGAATAGAGTGATATTAATGTAATTATTTTTATATTTATATGCTAAGAATAGAGTGATATTAATGTAATTATTTTTATATGCTAGGAATTAAAGGTGGATTTTTTAAAATCCTAACTAGTTGTGATTTTACTTAGGTTAGTTGATTTTGGAGCCTAACATTGAGATTGTTTAACAGCAACATTAAGATTAACATTAGATATTAACAAAGAAACATACTGCATTGAATTTGTATAAATGGCAGAACTTGATCTGATTTGTTGAGTCCTATTTCTTGGCATTGCTGTGAATAATGGTTCACCAAAATTGTATACTTTCTTTGGAATAAGTCCGTAGTAAAAATGACAGTTAAGCAGAATTTTCTCTGCATTTTGCATGTAAACTTGCAGTGTTACCATGTTGTCAGTGGCAGGAGATAACAGCCATTGACTTTGGCTAATGTCAAACTAAAGCACTTAGCTCTGGCATTGGTACATAGTAGAGCCTTTTTAAAGAGATGATTGCTTTCTTCAGCATTTTTTCCCTTCCAAAACTGCTTTGCTTTTATTTAATACATTTTAAGACTCATACAAAAGACAAACTCCAATCCTTTCTTACAACCAGCCTAGGGAGGTTGTAGGAATCACAGAAGCAGTTAGTTGCCCACAACTTTGAGTTCTGTCAAGAAGCCTGCCTATTACTTAATAAAATATCAGGGTACTTGGCCCTCCCTGGTGGTGCAGTGGGTTAAAGCACAGCACTAAGAAGCTTTAAGCCACTTATGCATGAGTTTGATTCCCGCCTGCCCCGGAGGTGATCAACATGGCAAGGCAGACCTCTCCTGACTCACCTGCAGCTCCTTGATCTGTCTGCTCTGCACCCCACTCTGTCTCTGGTGAATCCTCTCATCCTCCACATCTCTGGCCTGTACCCCAGTTCTATAGGAATAAATAAATCTTAAAAAAATATCGGGGTACAATTGGTACATCATACCCCTGCATGGTACCTGAGGCATGCTAAGATATTAGCCTTACCGTACTCAGACAGTGTTAGAGACTAGAACAGTAGCTTTTATTCTTCCATCTTTTCAGCAATAGTGGAGAAGAAGACAGAGTGCTCCCATGGTAAATTAAACATACCCATATATTTGACCTCAGCATCCCTTAAACTGAAATGCGATGATATTTGTTAATTATGAACTCAGGTCCATAGCCTCCTCCTCTGAGAGGAATCCCTGCTGGCTAGTTGGGCATGCTTTCCTTGTATAACTGTTCCCTTTCATCATATCTTAAATTACCTTATATTTAATAAGCACTAAATTAAGTTAACCTAAGCACCATTTATCAGTTAACCTAATTATTGAGTACCTACATTGTCTGAGATTCTGTTTGGGGCATTTGTGTACATCAGTAAGTGAAATGTGTGGGTGATGCTAAAAAGTAAGAAGGAAGGCAGAGTACAGGAACATGTGGAGTGCTAGAGGAGTGAAGGATGCAGTTTTAAATAGAGGGGTCAGCATAAGCTTCATTCAAAAACTAACATTTGAACAAACTTGAAGGAAGTGAAGAAATTACCCAAGTATCAGTAGATGCTCAGGATCGGTAGTTATCAACTTCAGCATACCTTTGCATCATTTAGGTGGCTGAGTACTATACAAATTGCTGGGTTCCACCTGGAATTCCATACTCAGTACCTATCCAGTTAGACCTGAAATTTTGCATTTCTGCAAAGTACTTAAGTGATACGCTGATGTTACTAGCTTAGGAATCCTATGTTAAGGATCCCTGGTCTAGGAGAAAATTATTACCAAAAAAAGCTAGATAAAAATATCATAAGAAAAGAAGGTGCCACATTGTTTTTGGAAACAATGGAGAAGCAAGGCTGGTTGGAAATTGAACTAGCAGAATAATGGAGAATCACATCATAACGAATCTGTGACATTTTCTGAGTTGAAAGAGGATATGATGTTGAGTTTGGGGCCAAAAAGTGAGATGATATTATTAAGTAATAAGGAACTGACTAGTTGCTATGTTGAGACTAAAAGTAGAGAACCATGGTTGACTCTGTAATAACCAAGGTGAGAGATCATGGCTGCAAACCACCAGTGAAGGTTATGGCAGTAGATGTGGTGAGAAATTATTGAAGGCGGATCCTGCACAGTTTGCTAACATGCTGAGTTGAGCATTTAAGAATGATTCAGGAAGACTGAAAGGTCTATATTCCAAACAACTATAGGAAGATAATTTTCATCAGTAGAGACAATATTACAAGGGAAATAATATTAAAGTGGGGAATTCTGGAGCTGGGCTATGTATCTGCTGAACTGGAGAGGCCTGATTTTACTTGCAAGTGTAAATATCAATTATGCTTTTGTATATACTGATCTGAAGTTAAGGAGAGGCATAGAATTGCAAATAAAATATTTGTGACACGTCTTTATCATATGGTGGCTTTTAAAGCCATGAGATCACCACAGATGGAGACGGTCAAGGTCTGCCCTTCTGGTTGTATAGCAAGATTCTAGAGGGAGGAGAGACATACTAAGGTAATAAGTTGGAACAATAGGTTAGTAAGGAAGAAAACCATGAGCTTGTAGCATCCTGGAAGAAAAGTGAAAAAAGCAGAGAAGGGGGGATGTTACTACAACGCTATCTGTGCTTCTGGTTGGTCAACTAAGATGAGGGCTGATCACTGGGTTTAGCAATGTGAAGTCTACTGGTGATTGTGACAATAGTGTTTCAGAGGAGTAGTAGGGGAAAAGGAGCAGAGGAATTGGAGGCAAAATATCCATGATTCTTCACCAAGTTTTTATCTAAAGAGAACCAAGCAAATGGAACTGAAGTCAGTAAGTGACAAAAGAAGTGGAGTTAGGCATTCTTTTTATTGTAAGATAACATCTTTTTAGCTGATCATGTGCTATAATAGACTAAAGATTTTATCCTATATATGAGGGGAGTAAATAGGTCAAAAAAATTCTCAATAAGGCAAGGGTGGGATTATTTATACAAATGAAAGATGTGCTCCAAGTAGGCACATACTTAGTTCAACTCAGTGTTTGCAGATGATACATAGATTTGGTGGGAGTACGGCAGAAGTTCTCTTCTGATTGCTTTAATATCTCAGTGATGTACATAGCAAATTTGTTAGCTTGGATAAGGGTGGGGAGATGGGGTTGTGGAAAGAAGAATATATAATAGACTTCTGGGAAAGTGAGAGAGTCAGGAGAATTTGGGTGTGACATGGCTAAATTATGATCTATTTGTATTATGGCCATAAGTGAGATTACTTAGTCTGGTTGGTTCCCACCACCCCCATCACATTTAAGTAAGCTTATAGGTAAAAATTACAGCTAATGAAGAGCTACAACTCACCAAGGCTGTGATTCGATAAGGAAGGGGACAACAACCTTGAAGGAGTATGATTAGATTCTTGCCATTTCGTTTAAGTAGGATGAAAAGAGGAGAGAGGACATGGAAAGTAAAGGGAAAATGCTGAATTGGAGGTCTCAGTGGGATCAGCAAATTGCTGAATTGAGTATTAAGGAGAATGAGCTGGAAAAAGTCTCATCAATATTGCTACATATAAAAGCCATTTGGGACCTGAAGGTGCAGAAAAGACTGAATTTTGTTTATATTCTTGTTCACAAATTCCTGGGTTATCTCATGCATATGAAAGTCTTTCAGCCTATTTGTGTTTATAAAACCCATTAAGTTCTTTGATGATAGAGAATCTGGCAATTAAAACAAACCCAAATCTCATTATAAAACTTGAGCTTTTATTGAGTCCTTCTCTTTTAATCACACATTATTCTATTTTCATACATTGTATCTTCCAGGAATAGAGGAGACACTTTTAACCTTACACCTTGCCAAACCTTCACCTATATGGCACAAAAACATAACTTTACATATCTTTGATTAAAATTATTCTATACAAGTATCTTCCCATCCCCTTTCAAGCACAGATTGAATGACCTTCCCTCTTCCATACTATTTTCATATTTCTATGAAAGTACATCCCCCCAAATATGTGTGGATTTATGGGTTATACACGTGACTATAATTAATAGATATTGCAGTTTTGTATCCCCAGAGCCTGCCTTGTACACATTAGATCCATGAGTAGATATCTTCAAATGTTTATACCACTGTTTATCATGCAACAATATTTGATAAGTATTTCCTGGCTCCACCCTTTAAGTAAATTTCTTTACTACATAAATACAATAAGAGATATGGGCCTACATTTCAGTTCTCAAGTTGGCCATAAATAAAAATATCCATCAAAATCAAACAAGACAGACTTTGTATAATTTCAGGCCTATCCTAATTTGCATGCTGTGGGTACTCTATTTTATGTAATTGTCCATAAAAATGTGGCATGGAATCTTCATTATTTTTAATATAGATAGCACATGCCCATCCAAATTAAAAATTTTAAGCAAATCCACTTTTTGCTCCCAAACACTTAATTAGTCACTTTAAGACATTTTTAATATTATAGCTTTTGTACTTAGGTGGAGCTGTTAAAGTTAAATAAGTGTGAATATCTGTCAAATACAGTTCTTGCAAGAGTGCACGTACATTTTATATATTGTGAGAAAAGCATAATTAATAGCTAATTAGGATAATGAAAGTAATATACACCAGATGTAGAGAAGACCTTGTGGAAAATTAGTATGAATTAGATAACATGTGATTTGGTCAAAGCAAGCTTGTTGAGAAGAATTAAAACAGTGGACATGTGGAGGGACAATCAGTGGCTGTCTAGCTCCTCCACCTAGGGAATAATTTAATCAAGTAGCTATTGTAATACTCAGGGCTTCAAGCTGTTCCGTTTTCACAAGTTGATAACTTGGGATTTGGGTCTTGATTTGCAACATTCCTTTATGGTCAAGGTTTCATGTTGAGAAGATCACTTATCAAGTAATTTAATAAAATAATCTCCTTGTATAAGAATGGAAAGTTAATAATTTTGAAGATTTTCTTTCATGTTCCAAATCTTCAGGTTCCTATTACTTAAGACAGCTATAATACTCAATATGTAACTTATTTTTTATTTAATGTTCAGTGGTTGACATTAGTCTGTCTCTCTATTTTTCTCTGAGTCCTTCTAAATGTTCATGAGAATTTCTTATCACAGGTTTCCTCTGCTATCCAAAATTAATACATGCCTATTTGGTATGATTTGATAGGTTACTCTTCAGTTCTGGGTATGGTCAATATAAATTAACAGGAACAGCATCCTCACATCACCAAAATAATCTACCAATTCATACTTAATAGGCATTCTCTAATTTTTGGGTAGTAAAGGAAATCTATATGAGAAACTAGGTTAAGTCATTCATTGGTTGGCTTACTTACATAGCCACATTTGAAATTACATGCACTTGATTATAATGTCTAAAGTCCTTACTAAGTATCAGACATTGTGCTAAGTGATTTATGTACTATTGAATTTCACAACAATAATGTGTAAGTATTATAATTATCATCATCATCATTACCATTTTAGTTTGATGTAATTGAGTCATAGGCTGTGCAATTTGTCCAAGGTTACAAAGATAATAAGTGCTGATTCTGAGCTTTGAACCCCAGAACTTTACCTCCAGTGTACTTGATTTTAACCACTATATGTGTATATCAATAATGTTGTGATATAGAAAAATTGCATCCTTTTTTATAATTATGTAAAGGCATAGCATAGATGCAGCCTTTTGTGAGCTATGTGTCATCTTTATTTAGTTCATTGATTTTGGCAAAGGTTGCTATAGATGAAAGAGTATTACAGTCATCTGCATGACAATTTTTTTTTTCTATCCATGAGGGACTATTAATTGATGAAATTTAGAAAGCTGTTCTGTATTTGCTTTGAGATGGTAATGTTTAAGCCGAATCCCAAACCTGACATGTCTTTAAATAGAAACCTGGTCTACTGACATTAATCCCTAAGAGGTCTGTCAATTGGCTGTGTCATAGATTTACTGAGAAACTCATCATGCATAAATATAAAATTTAATTATGGTTTGTTAATATGTCTAGCCCTGGTGAAGACACTGAAGTCTCTTCTTTAATAGAGGGACTTTGTAAATCTGCTTTTTAAAACAAGAAATGGACATAATCAAGAGTAGGATAAAACTGAACTTCATGTTGAACTGGACTACAGAATGCTTCAAAGTATATGACCAATTCTTCATGTGCCTTTTGAATGTAGTGATAATTCTAATATAAAAAAAAAAAGGCTTGCTTGTTTTTTTTTTGGTTGGCTTTATCTTCTAGTAGGTCTGCCTTTCAAGTCCTGATATCATTTCTAGTTTAAACTTTGTTATGTCTGAGACACTTGTTTTATAGATCTACTATCAACATATCTTACTTCTTAGCATATAATTGTAATTGAATTGTTATAATTCCTTATAAATTATTTTGTTAGTAAGATCTGATTTTTCCCACTTTCTTCCATGAAAAGGAAAAATAAAGGAAGCTATTTTAATACACTTTTTTTTTAAAGATTTATTTATTTGTGCATACAGAACTGGGGTACAGGCCAGAGGCTCAGGGGCGGTGAGAGGCTTCACCAGAGACAGAGTGGGGAACAGAACAGGCAGATCGAGGAAGTACACTGCTGAGGGGAGCAGCAGGCCGGTCAGGAGAGGTCTGCCACGCCATGTGGTCACCTCCAGGGCAGGCGGGAATCGAACTCATGTGGAAGCAGCTTTAGATTCTCAATGCTGTGCTTTAACCCGCTGCGCCACCAGGGAGGGCCTTAATACACTTTTAAAATCTCCTTTCTATCATAAGGACCTCTTGATTAAATGCTTTCCCCAAGTTACTGTGTGTTATGTTTCACCTGACATCCATGTGTCTTCATAGGCTTGACATAGTAGATCACATTTACACTCTAGTGGAAGTGTCTCCTTAGTAGGATGGTAAATAGTTTAAAAGTTGTTCTCTTTTTGGTTATAATTCTGTATGTACATATGTATGTTAACATTAACATTTTTGTTATTGTTTTGTTTGTAATCTCCCTTTTAATAAGGAGTATAGTAAGTAATCAAATGAAAAGATAATTTTTAAGTTCTTGGGGAAATGTTTTTAAAAAATAAAAATTTCTGCATGTAGAAATAAAGAATAAACTATGTGATTTGATAGAGTAATAAATTTAGGGGCAGTAGACAATAATTGAAAAAACTAATCATTTTAAGCTATTTTTGACTATATATAAGTAAGATTAAGAATGAAGAACCATATGTACACATCAGTCAGTAAAATTACAGAGTAAAATGCATTCCAAACAGGTTATAACTCCTGTGTAACTGGTAAATTGAAGAACCATCTTTGTGAAGTATAAAAGCATTATACTGAGAAAAACTGTAGCAACTATTATTTACTAAACTAATAGGATACAACAGTAAATACACAAAACAAATAGCTTCCCTATATATTATTCATGAACTCTTAGAAAATATAATTTAGAAAAGGCCCATAAAAATAGCAAAAATATGTTTCATAATGAATATGAATCTATTTGAATCTCAATGTTACTGAGAGGCATTTAAAGAAAACTCAAGTCCAAAGCAATGTCATGTTTCTACAAGTCTCCTACAGGGAAATAATAAGTAGAATAAAATGTTGATTGACACTTTAAAATTACTTATGAAGAGTTTATAATGGAAAATGTTTATGTAATAATGTCCAGTTATAAAAAATATGCATAGAAACAGTAAAGAAGGAAATATGTAGATATAACTATTTTTAGATAGTGTGGCTTATGTTGTGTTTCTCCTAAAAAAAAAGGCTTTTATAAAGTGAAACAAAACTCAAGTTTTTTTAAACGGTTTAGAGTAAAAGTTAAGAATTTTCTTTGACCTGCATGTGTTGTGAGGTCTTGGGTTATAGGAAAAGACGAGCTTTTATATGTTTTCATGTACATGCTTGTTGGCATTGTTAACTTTGTGATTTGAAATTCATGTAGAAAGATGTGCGGGACATCCTCACCCCAATTCAGATTGAAGCTGCTTATCATCTGGGGCACCACGTCATCAGCAAACGAAGCACAGATGAATTCCCACCACTTCAGCCAATTCTTCAACGGAAGAAAGAAAAAGACAAGATTGAAAAAACAGTAAGAATGTTTGCCTTTTCTTTGAAATATCGTGATGCACAACTAAAGGATTGTTTCATATTGTGTAATTCTGGGGGAGTGAGCTGGGAGCTGACACTGGTTTATGAATGGGTTTTTTTATGGGAAAAGATTTATGTTTTGTCTTTGTTGTTTTTTACATCTCTAGGATATTGAATTGAATATTTAAAAATACACAGTCATACCCTTGGGTTCCCAAATACATAAATGCTAGCATTCCTCCCCTGGCACCTTGCCAGTGGAGAGAATCCACGCTCGTGAGCACGGGGATGGGAGTGTGTGCGAACTGCTCTCTAGCGTCGCCATGCATGTCCAGTTGATCTTTATTCTCACTTTCTAGCTCCCCTTCTCTTACTCCGTTTCGCACACTCTAGCCATGGACTCACTTATTTTTTGTTAGTCAAAAATCCCTTGCTGAGTTTTACTCATTTGTAGATGTTTTTCTTTTACACAACAGGTTTTACTCTGAAATTTAACTCTGCTTTTCAGCCATGTCCTGGTTTCAAGAGGGTCCTCTGTGCTAACCAGTGAGCTGCTCTCCCTAAAACCATTTCCCTGACCTTGTGTTCATTGCCAAGATTCAGTCGTCTAGACCTTTCCTGTCCAGCAATGCCAAAACATACATCAGCTGAATGTTTGGGGCATGCTGGAAGCTTTAGTTAAAATTTTTATTAAAGTATTTTCTAGTGGCATGCAGCATGTAAGAGGTGAAAGGAAGGTTAAAGAGTCTAGCTCATCTCTTACCCAGACAAAATTCCCTCTCAGTCACTTAAAGACATCAGAAGTCAAATGAAGATGGTTATCTGAAGAGCAAAATTTCTCTCTACCCTTCTATGAAAATATTTATGGAATTCAGTTTTGTCACTCTTTGTTGAGCTTCAGTGTTTAATATCAATTGTTTGAAAAGTCTTTAGTAATGAAAATCTCAATACTATAAGTCCACAACTCAAAGCTTTGTGACTTGTAGTTATGTTAGGAAAACCTACATTTTGATTCTGAAGTGACATTTTTTTTTTTTTTTTTTTTTTACAAATAAGAGTGGTAGGAAAAATCATTTAGGGAAAGGTTTCCACCTTGCCTCTGCTCCCAGGTGTAGGCTGCCTGTGGCCTGTTGTGCACATTCTAGTCATTTCCCATTTCATGTACCTGCTCCTTCTGACTTTCTTGTTCTGCTGCATCTCTTTCATATTTTCCTCTCAACTTCCGTAGTCTCTATGCTTTTTCTTTCATCCAGCCATACCTCAGGTCTTTCCCTGTGTTTCCCATGTGGTATACAGAGTATCTCTGTTTTCTATTAAAATATCCAGAATTAAACAACATCTGGAACGTTCATGATATACTTAATTTTATCCACTGTGTCCTGAAAAATTTCTACATTTTGTTAGTCTTTAAAAAAATAGAAAAGCACCTACCATCAATGAAAATTAAGTGCCATGCTTATGTGTAACAAATGGGGTCAGGTTGCTGCCACCACAGAAAATTGAGAAGAACCTGACAAAGAAATGCCTAGCAACACAGGTTTTAAACACATAGGGTACTGCCACAGTTTGCATAAGTTTAATTTTTCTTTTATAATCTTGTGAAAAACTGTCATATTTCTGCTTAACAAATCCAGCCTTTACATTTGCCTGTTGGAAGAACTTAGTTTCTTTATCTATGCAGTTAACTTGCCATTTGAACCTTCTGTCTAATTCTTAAATGGAACTTTTCAAGCAAGGTAGAATAAGAGTCATCTTACTTTTTCTTGTGTGTTTATGAATTTGTTTTTTCTTGGTGGTTGTCGTATGATGGCGTACACTTGAGGAGCTGGGGTGCTATATTTTGGAATCGTATACCAGATTGAAAACTAATGTTTCCTTAATAAAAGAAGAAGAAGAAGAAGAAATACATTCCTATTGATTAAACTGAGATGCAAATTTTGTGATATCTTATTTACAGGTAAACTTTGCAAGATTTTGTGCCTATGAAAATTGTTCAGCTGATTTGCAGGTTTCTGCCAAAATTGGATTTTTGAAGTAAGTGTAATATACTCTGTTTGTATTAAGATGTGATAATGAATGTGTATTTGTGGGGTTCTAAAGAGATACAGAACTAATCCTTGGGGGTTAGCACTGTTTAAAGAACTGAAAACAAATCTCATACTCCTTAAGAGAGATACAAGGACTTGTTCATCCCCACAAGCAGTACACACTTAGAGAAAACCATTTCTTTTGAAAGAATGAGAATTTCTGAGCACTTCATAACTTTGTGAAGTATTTTTTACCCTTTATTGAAATTCAGAAGGTATTTCAGAATTTGTGCCTTGGGCCATCATTATCAGAGCTGTAGATATATTTTAGGTATTTGTGAATGATTTTAATAGAGTTTTGGTGTCAAAATGAGCTAACCTTTGCTACATAAAAAAAAAGCTCAATTTTTCTATCACCCAAGAATCTGATTACAGACTGGTATACAAAAACAAACAAAAAAAAAACTAGATGAGTGCTGTTAGTAATTTATGATGGGAAATGAAACATTGCAGGTTTGTATCCTGCTTACTTCTCCTATTTTAATTGTTTCTGCATAGCAGAGGGAAAATGTGAAAGTGAAGACTAGAGAGAGAGAATCTACAGTTCACATTAAGGGTTGATTACACACAGGAACTGCGAGAGGTGAAGAAGTTGTCAGCAAAAGGACAGGGAAATGTGAAACTCTTTGGGGAGGTAGAGATATAAAGTAGGCAATTTAGATTGAGCATGTCAACTTGGGAAGGACGTCTGTATGTAGCTCTCCACTGGAAGTCTAGATCAGGATATATTTGGAAGTCCTCTATATTCGGTGACTACTGATCATGCCCTGGGGAGTGAGAGATGGGAGGGTAGATGTGAGAATGTCGTAGAGGAAAGAAATAAGAATCAAATCTCAGTAGAGCAATATTATTAAAAGATGTAACAAGAATAGGGAGTCCTTGAGGGAACCTGAAAAGATATCTTCAGAGAACTGAGAAGAGCCAAGTCCATGTGAAATAATCTATGGATAGTACAAAAAGAAGACCTAATGTTATAAAGATGTGGTAAAGATCAGAGAGCATACAGAAAGGTCATAGGAGTTGGTATTTAAACTGTGACTAATGGAAGCGAAGAAGGATATTACTGGCCAATTTTAAGGTAGAAATTTCAGTGTGATGGGTAGCCAAAGTCAGCATGTGATTAAGAGAGTGTACTGAAAATAAGTTGGTTCAACTGGCACATTTTTATGTTTTTATCAAATGTTCTTAATCATAGGAAGATATACATATATGCCAGGGTCAAAGGCAGGGAAAAGAACAAATTGGAGAGGGAAAACAACCTAAATCCATGGGGCAGTATTTTAGGCCCTCCTTGCACTCTCCTCTGATTCATTTGGCAGTTGTTCACTTCTTCTTCTGAACCACTTTTGCTTGAAGTTTCATGAGCCATCCTACTCTTCTACATTCTAGCCTGGCCTCATGGTCTTTAGAAGGTCTTTGATTTTAGCTGTTATCTACCTAAATGGTGCTTTTCAACTCCTATATTTTCCCTGGATACTCTTGCCCACAGTGACAACCCTATGTGTCCTGCCTATGCTTTTGATGCCAAGTCAGTATCTCTGAGGTGACATCCACCCAGCTGCCAGAGATAACCCACACATCCACTTTTCTAGGCAACATGTCCACCCAGGTTCCCAATCACTGGCCGCCAATGACATGACCATTAGTTAACTATAAGTGTCAGACATCTAGTGCACAGTCTGCATTCTTCTTTCTTTCTTAAAAAAAAAAAAAAAAAGATTTATTTATTCATACAGAACTGGGGTGCAAGCCAGAGATGTGGAGGGTGAGAGGATTCACCAGCGACAGTGTGGGGAGCAGAACAGGCTGACTGACAAAGCACACTGCTGAGGGGAGCAGTGGGCAGGTCAGGGGAGGTCTGCTGCGCCATGTGGTCACCTCCGGGGAAGGCGGGGATTGAACTCATGCTGAAGTGGCTTAAGCTTCTTAGTGCTGCGCTTTAACACTCTGTGCCACTAGGGAGGGCCCTCTTCTCTCTTTCTTATTCCTGACATCTAACTTACTATGTCCTATAATATTACCACCGATATGTATTTTTTTTTTTTTTTAGTCTATCATACTTCTGTATCTCTTATCACTATTGTTCTAGCCAGTATCCTACCTAGATTGCTGGACTGTCTTGCCTTTGGTACTACTGTTCTCAGATTTTGCATTCTTCTAAATCCTCTACCACAGTTTCCAGAGTGAGCTTTAACCCATACACATAGTAGCAACACTTGAGTGGTTTATTGCAGCATTTAATCTAAATGCTTGAGTTCCCTTTCTCTTCCATTCTTTGGTGGTAGAATACTTGCAGTTGCCCAGCTATTGAGTCTGACGTTTCCTAGATAAAGTCACCTCTATCCCAGACTACATAAACTTAAGTCACCCTGTGTCCCTGATCCCAATTGCACCTGAGCTTACCACTGTAATATCTGTCTTCACAGTATGCTTCAGGTCGCTTCAAAGTGAGGTCCTATCTTTTTGTTACCAGCTCCTAACACAATGTTTGAAATGCTGTGGGTAACTAATAAATGTTTGTTGGAAATGGAACAAGATGCTAAGAGAATCCACATCTATGACCAGATGAGACTGGGTTAGTGGAGTTAACTTTAGATAGAGTTAAGATTCTCTTTATTTTGAGCTAAGCATCTATGAAAAGATGTTTGATGTAAAGAAATTGTATTGTGGAAGACAAGGAAATGTGGAGAAATAACAGATGGTCAAGATAAAAAGCTAGTCTATATGTGGAAAGTGAGGTCTTTAAGGGATGGCTACTAGAAAGAAATGGGGAAAAATTTAAAATAGTTGTTATGATAAACAGAGTGAGAGTCAACCAGAAATGAGTAGGAGGTTGACAAACAATGCTATGTACCCTGCTGGGGCGAGATCACATATGGCAGAGAATAGATTAATTATTTTCATTCCAGCAATGCCAGGATCGCCTTAAGCATCCACAGTTTGAGGGCCAAGAAGTGCCCGACCCTATTTGATAATTGGACTTTATACTTAAATTATCCAGATTGGCTGCTTGTATAGCCCCAAACAGTGACTACTAACTTTATGTCACAGCATGAAATGTGATTCTTTTGTTGATTTATTAGTTGATTAATTTACCATCCTCATTGTCTGGTATGTATTTTCTTTGTGAAATGCTTACTTTTCTTGGTGTTTTCCTAAAAGGCTTAGTTCCCTAGTTGTTTTTGCCACTGTAGCCTTTGATGAGAAGGAAAGTTGTGTGTGGAGTTTATCTAAGCCGTAGATAAGAAGTGTTTTCATATTAGCTCATACACTTCTGTGGGTTTGGCACCTTTTATTGCAATCCCAGTGGGCTTTGAGAAAGTGGCACATTGAACATTATATGGAAACATTACCGAGAATGCTTCTTCTATTAAAAATGAAAATGCCTCTTATTTAATTAAGATGCATTACTTTTCATTTCATTGAATTTTTTTCTTAATTGAATACATACTTTCCTCAACAAGAAATTACATAATCTATTTTGCTTTTTAATTTGAAGTGGTAATAGATGTTTTACTTGAACTAAGTTCACCATGTTTTCAAATGGCAGCCAACAGAGGGCAGGGTAGTGTCTCTCGAATTCTTTGAATCACCTGCATGAGAATCCCTTGGGAATTTGATGGAAATTCAGTTTCCTTTACCCTAGATTATCCAAATCAATAACTATGGAGACATGATCAGGAAAGATCCGTTATTTATAAGACTGCAGGTGGCTCTTCCACACTAAAACAATATGGTACTGAAGGAATTTCATTTTTGAGTTTTTTTGTTTGTTTATGCATTATTAATTTTTGTACAGAATTAGATTTCTCCCCTCATCCTGTAGTTCTTCTACCCCCATAGCACTATAATTCAGCACCACAATCCCTTGTGCTCATCCCACCCCTATTTAGACCCTCAACCTTACTCCCACCTCCCTTGCCATTTGCCTCAGATCTATAGTCAGCTTGCAAGTTTTGTGTTTTTCTGATCCTTTGGTCGGTTTCTCTATATTCTGCATGTAAGTAAAACCATCCTATATTTATCTTTTGTCTTTGGACTTATTTTATATAGCATAACTAACTCCTCCTTCATTCATGTTGCTGTCAATGGTATGAGTTTATCTTTTATGATCCCTGATTAGGATTCCATTGTGTATATAGACTACACATTCTTGTCCATTTATTTGTTTAGGGCATTTAGGTTTTTTCCATATCTTAGCTATTGTATATAGCACAACAATAAACATAGGAGAGCAGGTTTCCTTTTGGATTAGTGTTTTTTTGTCTTGTGGGTATATTTTTAGGAGCTGAATCACTGAATCATAGTGCCGATCCATTGTAAGTGTTTTGAGGACCCTCCATTTATCTTTGTATAGTGGCTGGACCAGTTTGGATTTCCACCAGCAGTGTTGTTTATGGGTCATTCTCACAGGAGGGAGATGGTATCTCATTTTAGTTTTGATGTGCATTTCCCTGATAATAAATGATATTGACACATTGTTTCATATGCCCATTGGCCATTTGCATTTCTTTTTGGAAAAGTGTTTAGCTCTTCTAGCATTGTTTGACTGGGCCGTGTGCTTTGTTTTTGTTGAGTTATGTAAACTCTTTTTAGATCTTTGATATCTATCCCTTGTAAGTTGTATGGTGTGCACATATTTTCTCCCATTCAGTAGAGTGTCACTTGTGTTGGTTGCTATCTTTTTTGTTGTATAGAAGCTTTGTATTTTTATGTAGTCCCAGCTGTTTTATTCTCCTTTGTATTGCTTACTTCTAGAGATGCGTCCTTAAAAACGTTTAGGAAGTTTAGGTCATGGAGTCATTTGCCTATGTTTTCTTTTATATATGCTATGGTTTTCAGTCTTAACGTCCAAGTCTGTTATACATTTTGAGATAGATCTTTGTCAATAGTATGAGATGGTAGTCTAGGTTCATTCCTTTGCATGTGGCAGTCTAGTTTTCTCAG